TGTGCACCGTTACAGCTCGGCTACATTTCACCTGATATCATAATAGCTATTAATATTATACTCCTATAATGCAACAGCAAACAACGGATCGAGCGCATCGACTATTTACAATGATGTGGCGCGAAAGCAGGGCGGGGTTGTATAATCTCAGATTATACTGTTACAATATATTTTCGCTATCAGATCAGATAGAAACAATTACCGTACTTGCGCGAATAAGCGCCACGTTTGAATAACCGCCCCTCATAACATGAACATTTCCTTAAGCGCCCCGTAGGAATAAGCGGCCCTTCTAATTTGAATAAGCGCCCCCTCATAAGATTTTCTTTTTAGCAAGTCAATAATACAATCAATCCTGGGACTGTGGTTGTTAGCATGATTAAGAGGAAACACATTGTTCTTCGGTCAATATCAAAATGAGGATATTTCTCTTGGACAGACGAGGGATCCGTTTTTGTCATGAGCCATGCTTTCTGGACGATTATCTTTTCTAACCACCATTTATAATGTCCTTATATGATCTTTTTTCATTCAAACAGTGTTTCCATAAGAGCCCCCTCAATTTCCACTGTTTTCAGAAGCACCCCGTTTAAATAAGAGGTTCCGATTGGTGGAGCTGGCTTGACCCTAAATTTCCACTACCCCCAATTACTGGATCCGCCCCTAGTGATAAGACAGGTGCTGATTGGTGTTCGAGCTGGCTTGATCCTAAATTTAAACTTCAGTGTCGCTATGGCTATGTTTATGTCATGCACTATGGCATTGCGGAAGAATACCCACATTGACACGATCCAAATCGACCCGAATTCGAGAGAGAGGGGCCCACGGACGCTTTGGTATTGTAGCTATACTAGCTACTTGGCTAGGCCTGTGCCGGAGTAGTCCTATAGGGCCTAGCCGAAATGATTGGGCCTTGGCCTACCTTTCATTATCATGCCTTATTGTGCCCAGGCGTACGTTTATGTTCACCTGATCGATTTCTAAACATGCCATGTATTACTGATGTGTTTGAGACATATAAACTAGAGTAATATAATAATTATTCAATTTAAAATGGATACTCTTCCATGTTCGTGTCGTTAGAATCAGATACAGGAACCAAGGACTTAGTTATAAGTACGGAAGCTTAAAGGTGCCATCCCAGATGTCTTGATAATTACTGTATCTCGTCATGTCTACATCCCGTAGAAAAGATTAAATGACAAAATTCTGGATCTCGTCATGTCTATATTTATCAGAAGAGATGATCATGTCTAAATCTTTTAGAAGAGGTGATCAGATGACGAGATCCTTGATCTCATGTCTACATCTTTTAGAAGAGATGATAAGATGACAAGATCCTGGATCTCGTCATGTGTACATCCTTCAGAAGAGATGATAATGACGAGATCCTGGATCTTCGTCATGTATAAATTCTTTAGAAGAGATGATTAGATGACAAGATCCTGGATCTTGTCATGTGTACATCCTTTAGAGTAGATATGACGACATCCTGGATCTCGTCATGTGTACATCCTTTAGAAGAGATGATCAGATGACGAGATCATGGATCTTGTCATGTGTACATCCTTTAGAATAGATATGACGAGATCCTGGATCTCGTCATGTGTACATCCTTTAGAAGAGATGATCAGATGACGAGATCCAGGATCTCATCATGTATAAGTCCTTTAGAAGAGATGATTAGATGACGAGATCCTCGATCTCGTCGTGTGTACATCCTTTAGAAGAGATGATCAGATGACGAGTTCCTGGATCTCGTTATGTGTACATCCTTTAGAAGAGATGATTAGATGACGAGATGCTGGATCTCCTTATGTCTACATCCTTTAGAAGAGATGATTAGATGACGAGCTCCTGGATCTCGACATGTGTACATCCTTTAGAAGAGATGATCAGATCGCAAGATCCTGGATCTCGTCATCTGAACATCTGGGAGCTCACTTAAAGCTTCCGTATATAAGTCCTTGCAGAAAAATGCTGCTCATATTATATTTTGTTGATGTGAGGCATGCGCGGTGACGTAATGAAGATGGAAACAAACTGTTTCTTTTAGGGCCAGACGCGATATTTTTTTAATCTGAGAACTGCGGTACAGTTTAACAGAGGGGACTTATTTATGTGACGTAAGCGACTCGAGAAACATGGCAAAAAAGGTACTGATTTTCGGTGGTTTTGGCTGTCTTTGCTTTGTTATCCAATATCCTGCCATGAAAAGTAGCGGAATGTGGTCGTGACATATAGAAATCCCAGTATATGAGATATGAGCACATTCCTACCACTGGTTTCAGAGGAGATAGGTGAACTTACACCGGGGCGATTAGTAGAATTAATGTGTAGGTGCCTGGGCTATAGGTTAATAGGATCAGATGAAACTAATTTATATTAACTTGATTATTCATGTATTTATCTCGATAATTTTGAATGACAACTCAGAACTCTCTGCCTAAGAGTCGCGTTCTGGGGACTTTTTGAGATTTGCACAGTGAATCAGCTATTCAAAATGGACAGAGGCTGTCGCAAACTGGTGCTACTTTATAGTTTTACTTGATTTAAGCAGTGCATAGCATAGCGCTACTTAGATATTTTTTGGAGGCTTGTGTGGCCCTTATTTAAAATTGGCGTTTATACCATGAAGGTAAATACCTCCATCTTTATACAGTATATAGTGCTAATAGCCTGTAAAGATGGTTTGTTTCTGTTTGTTTACTCTGTGTATGAAATAAAACGGTGTTTTTCATTACGAAATAGGCGCGCGCCTAGATGACACTGGTGTTTGATTTTATGATTAGACAGTTCATATTGATGTTGGCTTTCAAATTAAGGTATTATTGTCAAAAATCTTAGCATAGTTAGTTAGGGGGGTTATAATTTTCAGGGTCTCAGAATCGTATTCTTAAGTCTTAAGCCTCATTCGAACTGGATTTTTTTTTTTTTTGGTAGAAATCTTACCGATATTATGGTAAACATTCTAATGTATAAGCTTACTGCTGTAGCCGCACTTGGACTTTTTGGCTTGAGAGTTTTATCATGACTCGTGCTATGACTTACCGAGGAACATCTGAAAATCATGTTAAAATTTGTATTTAATTTCATTTAATGATGGTGACTCACGTAGTCGCGCTGTTCCAATTGTACCTTTTGACCAGGTGAAACTGACTTCCTTTTACAGGGCAAACAGGACTCGAAAAGGCTTTAAAAAGTAAGTCCGGTCAGGAAAAGTTAGTGGTTCTCACGGGAGAGCCGGGGGGGGGGGGTCCTTTGCTCCCCTAGACCCCTGCTAGCACCGCCCTTGGGCCTAAGTTGTCCTGGATATTAGATCTTTATGGTTGCCAAAAATCCCTAATAAAAGATCATGTGAAATTTGTTGACTCTTAATTTTGACTATAATAGTGATGTGATGATGAAATTTACTATATAAAAGTGTTCCGGCCATCCATTCAGGGGTACTATTTCTTCAAATTTCCTCATCTCAGCCACAACCATTTTTGACATGAGGTCATTGTAAAATCAAGGCTTTGAAGTATAAAGACAATGTTTTTAAGCTATATTTTCTTTGTTATATCACACATATTAAAGATCTATGGTTGTCGAAAATCCCTGAGATCAAAGACCATGAGAATTTTTATTGACGTGGTGTGATGATGATGAATTTACTATAGTGTCATTTCTGGCCATCTATAGGTACTATTTCCTGAAATTTTCGCACCTCTGCCGCAACTGAGGTGGGTGTGGACTTACCAAGTGTCTCTCCAACCTTTCAAAACAGTTCTGCGGCCTTCCCTGGGTATGAAATTAAACACTATGATAGAGTCGACACCTGACTCAGAGTATGTATTAAGTGAGTGCTGAGTAAAATGCATACATTTGTTCTCAGGATGTGATCATGTTCAGCCCCCAACTATAATGGGGATGAGGTGGGTGGACCCTGTCTGTGAAAGTCTCTCTCTTTTGAATTTCGTTTATTCCTATGGTTATAATTTTAGTGTACTAAAATTATTTATAAAGCGTCTATTGCACTTTATCCACTTTAAACTTTCAGAGTGAGCTACCTCCCAGGGGGCTTTTCCCCTGGACTCAACCGTGGTCCTTGGCGTCCTTCAGCCGTAGGAAGGGGATCATTCATGGTTGATCAATCTAGGGCCATTGAGCATGCCCACAAAAGGGCATGTAAAATTATCTTAGCAAATAATTATATCAATTATAATGAATCGCTTATTGTGCTTGATATTGCAAAGTGACAGAAGAAATAACATTTATAACATTTTTTTAAAATTCCTCATTGGTTTGTAGAAAACCAATCCAGTCACAGTATGTATTTAAAGATGCGCCAGTTTTGTGTACTTCGTTTCGTTTTTGTTTTGTTTTTGCTTTGAAGAACCTCTTTTTATTGCGTGATCGTTTACATAACTTAACATAATAACATAAATGTGACAATAATTTTAAGTTCATTTCTACCCTTCTTCCACATAGGCTGATTATACGTTAAACTACAAACTATATTTCAATTTTCTATTAACCAGATGTAGATTGTATATTGTTACCAAAATTTATAAATATAAACAAGTTTTAAACGTTTATTATTGTTGAGATAACAATCAGTACTTGGTTGAAAACCAGAACACATTTTCAACACTGATTATACATTGCAATAAAAAAAAATGTATAAAATGTTGAGAACATGTTTTAATTGTAATGGTAATATCTCAACCAGATTTTAAAAGTAAATTCAATGTAAAAATAGTGTTGGGTAAAAAAATAAAAAAAATAAAATATAATATTTGTAAACGTTGATTTTACGTGAAAACACTAACTATATTTCAACTTAATATTGAAAAGACGTGTTTATATTTTCTTCAACGTTAATAAAAATAAATAAATTAAATAACATTCACAAACATTACACATTCACAAGGACATAATAGAAAAGGTTAAACAAAAAAGACTACATTCGGACATTTAAACAGAATGAAAACCAACAGACTTCAGCAGCCACTTACATATTTGATCTCTTTCCTCAGAATGTGTCCTTAGCCTCCCTCCGTTCTTCTGACCTTAACTTGCTAATTGTTTCTAAAGTTCTTGTTAAATTTTTGCAGTACACCAGGCTGATCGTTTTAAGAAGAACTGTTTTTGTTGAGAATGTCTTGACGTTTAGGCGTCAATCGTCATCAGGAGAATAGTATCTGCACCGAGTCCAAACTGGGAAATATTTATATGATTGGATAGTGAAGCTTGCAGCTGATTGGTAGAAAGCGATGAAGTAGGGGAGAGTGGGGTTGATTGCATAATTTTTTTACATTTTTGGCCACAGCTTTTAAAAATGGGCATTGCTTGGAGTAAAAACTAGCAATATATCTTCTTTAACATTCCATTGAATAGCAAACTACGTTTCACTGGTCTATGTTAATTATTATGGGATGGAGAAGCATTTTAAAAACAATGGTCGGGTGATTCAACCTTCCCCACCGATATTGGTTGAATCACATAGAGGGGTAGGTTGAATCACTGTGTGAAAAGATAACAAATACAAATAAATTTCTAATAATACAATCACAGTGTTTATTTACAATACTAAAGAACATTCAGACATTTATATTCAACCAAAATTTCAATAAAAAATTGGAAAAATCCATTAATATATATATATATATTACAAAGTACATATAAAAATAGCAGCAAGGATATATTTTTTACTTTCTTTGTATTAATTGCATGTACCAGTATAATATAATAACTCTTATTTCATTTTATTTGTTTCAGTTAGACAACACATTCATACATTAAAATGTTTATAAATACATATTTAATACTAGTAGTAAGAATGACTAAATATATACTGTATACCGGTTAAGGCTATGGCATATGACTCTTGTGCCTGATTAATTTATATTTAAACCGACTTGCTCAATAGTTTTATGTTTTCACTTCAGTGTTAGGGTTTCTTGGCAGGATCAGAAACCCTAATTGTAAACTGTACATTTTCTGAAAAAGCAATAGCAAATATTTATATTATACATTGCAATTTTTACATATGTAAGTAATTTAGTAAATGAATAAAAATACAAAAAAAGTTCTTCTATAGGTCTATCAACCTTTTATTAATTAAAAAATAATCACATTTTGATATAATAATGCTGCCTAACCCGAGGGCAAGCACTAGCAATTATTTTGTATTTAGAGGCTCTCTATTCTATAGTAATTAGGCCTAGGCCTATATATTATATAGTTTGTGGTGTGTGTGAAGAAATACATTTAATAAAATATATTATTTATTGGTTGATAATAATTATACGCGAATCTGCATAAAATTACAATGATAATGACAAGAGAACTGTCTAGTTGATATCTAGCATGATAAAAGGTCTAGGCTTAGGCCTTGAGGATACCTGAATGATAATATAGAGTCCTAGACCTAGAGGGGTTGGTTGAATCACCTGATGCAACCATCCCCGACACCAATGACAGGGTTACATTTGGGTGTCAGTAAAAAATGAAACAACCTAGCCTAGAAGTATTTATCTCATAGTTTACCCTAATGTAACTCAACTTTGGTTTTTGGTTAAACATGCACCATAAAGTAATAAAACGATAATTAATGTTTAAAAACTCGAAAATTTACATACTGGCCTAAAAATGGTTAGTTTTTCAGGAAAATACCTCAACACAAGCCTATCGCTCTGATTTTCGGCAAGCAGCGAGCAATGACGTTACTTGATTGCCAGGCCTATCAACCGATTTATTCCCAATTATATTTTTTGAATTATAAGGACTGATGCAACCAACACGCGATGCAACCAACCCCACTCTCCCCTACACCTGGACAACCAACCAATCACTCGCGAGTGTTTTCAAAGGTGTTAACACAGTTGACAGTCACTAGATTTTTCACCTGAGATTTACTGGAGTTTACCACCAAGAGCGTCGGAAGCGGTGCAGCTGGTCCATTTGTGGTTTGACCAATTATTTACAACTCAATATCGTTTGTAAGCCAAACTCTACTTTCTCTGACGCAATCAAACATAAATTGCACATTCAGCTTATTGAAAGTATGGAACAAATTTGAAATTTAATTTTCACTATAGTTAATTATAAATAGCTTAGGCCTATTTATCATGATTACATTTAGCACGTAAATAATATTCAATCACTCTATTAGGCATACAAACATGGGTAAGATTTAAAAAATGAAAGAATAAATAAAAGGTGTATACACTTCATTTATTATGTACAATTTATTGATTATATAATTTGAAAATAAACTCTATAATTCTCCGTCTTTAATATACAATTTTTAGTTTCGTATAAAAGAATAAAATGAATCGGACTTTCCAAGGTCGTCAAGAAGGCTGTTAAATCAGGTAGGGGCAAGGAAGCTAAATGCTCTTTTATAGCATTCAAGTTTTGGGCTTATGTAATATTTTTAGCTTTAGATGACTAGAATGGCAGATTAATTTTAGTAAAACATTTCACTTGGTTATTCAGGCCCAGAAACCTGAACTCAGAAATACCGGGATGGTGTCCCGCGGAGAATACTCTTACATCTAAATTTTGTTTAAGCCTACATTAAGTTTTTTCCCTTTTTTTAAAAATTATATAAGTTATTATTTAAGCGTTAAAGGCGTTGCTTCAAATGTAATTTATTTCATCTAATTTTCATTTTTTGTTCATACTTTGAATTTTCTGTAGGGCCCTAATTACACATGTGATTATGAATGTGACTGTGAAATAAATGACACGTGACATCATTAGGATAAGTTTAATCGTCGCGAATTCATTTAATTTAATTCGAAACCGTCGATTTTCAGCTGTTTTCGCACATTTCTCTTCATAACTTTACTTCTACTTGTCCGATTTTCGCCATTGTTGTTTCATTCTATTCAAAATTTAATAACAGTTATAGTAAACTTAATTATAATCCATAAGATTGCCAAATCTCGTCGGACTTTCTAATTTTGTAACCGTGGTTTTCCAAATTTTTCCGTGTAAAACCTATGGTTTTAGGAGAAATGTGGCGAACCGCCCGAAGTTTTTATGTAGTAGCTCCGCTGATATTGGGCCGATTTTCGGCATTGTTGTGGCAACAAGTAGCTTTATTTATAGGCTACAACATATGTAAAAATCAATTTGATTGGTTAATAAACGACGTCGGACTTTTCATTTTTGTAAGAATCAACCTGAAGCAAGTCAGTTTAGAAGCCAATGCTTTAGAATAGCGAAAGAGTATTCGACCGTATTTTCGAGCAGAAGGAGCTTAGCTTTGGAGTTAAAATTTAGAATGTTAATTGCATTATCTTGAATTATTATTTTGATTTTTAGTTTGTGCATGTGTAGATGAACGTATAGATATTTTTTAATGTATTTACATAAAAAATATAGTAGTTATGACAGTTTATAAATGACGATATTCTGCTAGGCCCACGTATTCTCTTCGGCGAAACTCCGGTTTCAGATCTGATAATCAGACCATACCATTTTCAATGTGTAATGCAAGTGCATGGTAGAATCATCTGTAATAGGTACATTTCTACAATGTTAAAAAAATGTATACCTAAAGAAGTATAATATTAATATTACCTTTCTGTTTATTTTGAAGTACTATGAGCCTGCACCTACAACTTTGTCTACATTCACATAACTAAATACCCCTATTTTACAATGGTACATTTCGCAGGCTTCAACGACCAGCCATTGAATTCGCTTCGACGCGTAAAGGAGATTATCAAACCCTACGCAAAGGCAATTTTGACCAACTGGGTGATCAAACTTATCCTAATGTCCCCTACACCTGCAAAACAAAACAGGGGTTTCAGTAAAGAACTGTACATTATTGCCATTGCCATTAATAACGCACGTCGCATGAATGGCGCGGCCAGTTAAGCACGTGTTTTAAAACACATAAGGTTCAAATCGAGTATAGATATTCAATGTCTTTTTTTTTCAATTTTAAGAAGCTATTTTGTTCAATTTTATGTATCTTAATTTTTAATTCAATTTTTTTTGTACAAATAAACATTCTTTTTATTTAAAAATTCTTATTAGCCCAAAAATCCAAATATAATAACTTGCGTTTGTACCGTATTTAAGCGTGGAGGAACGCGCGGACCATGTGAGGGTCTTGTTTTGTATTCAGATAGCAATATGATGATCAGCCATAATAATCTATAAAATCATATCTACAACTCATGTGCTTTCAGAATATTTGTTTTGTCACCTTCCATTATAAGGAGCTATAACCAAAGATAATAAATAGAGCAGCTTCCCAATATAGTGGAACATCCGTTCAAAAGGCATTTTGGGTACACGGACAGCAATTTTACCACATCCGCGCGGCGGCGCTATATAGTAATAATAAAAGCGCCGCTCTGGTTCGTTTGTTTCCTATATTTTCTCCACTTAGTAAAATGGTCAAATTATACCCAATGCGCGGGAGGGCGGATGTATTTCATCAATTTTAATACAAATACGCAGAGCAGCTCATTCTTCTGCTATTTAAGTTCTTTGCTATAACTGATTTGAAATAGGCATGATTGTGAGCATTTAAACATGTTAACCCACGCTTGCGCGCAGGCTATGATGCGCACACGAAAAATTAAGGTACATGACATTCATCCTTGATCTGAAGCGTTATGTCCATTAAATATGATTATAAATGTCAATCGATTATTATGATATTTGGTCGTCAAAGTTTTGAGAAAAGAAAGATGAAGGGTGGGGGTAAAAAAACCCATTTATTTTGACCATGATAACTTTATCAAAATAGAAAAAAGTCTATGAAAGAAAAAAAGAAAATTTATGAAAGGGAATTGTGTTAGCTATAACAGAAAAAGATGATGTTGGACCTGACAATCACAAGAGGCGAATCACCAAGTTTTTGTTTTAAATGGAACAAACACTAGGTCCCTTGCGATGCACAAAGTAGCTGACCATTGAGACTGACACAAACTTGAAATAGTTCATGCGCAAAATATGCCCTATAAGGGGGACTTTGGATAATTCATGAGATTTTACCTATCGTACGTTCAAAAATTGCACCCGAGGACAGAGAATTTTTTTGGTACAGTATGCTTATTCCTCTATGAATAAATTAAGTGCAAGAAACACGAACATAATTATATTATATAATATAATGCAATATGAATAACAAATAATGTGTGCCTGTTATATTGTTACAAGTTTCTGGATATTGTGAAATGCATTTACAAAGATGTGGTCTAATTAAATTAAACATCTGTTATGATTACACAGGGTACAATATACTATGCATTATTTAGTAAACCTAATAAATTTCTTTTGAATTAAGCCAGGTGAATATGTTAGATTTTCATATAACAGACTGCTGGTATGTTATTTAGTATTATCATTTAGTAAACTTTCGGTTTATTAATGACAGGAGGACCATTTATGTAAGAATTCCCATCATATGGACAGATCTAACAGGTGATAAATACTCAATAGAGCAATACAAATCAGGGAAATCTACTTTAAGGTGGAGAGTCAATATTAGAATTAAGTACTGTACGTTTTTACATGGGGCTCAACTCAGGCCCTACAACGGCTCCGGTCAGGGTGGTAAGACAAACGCCAGGGGAAATCAGCACTTTTGATTAGATACTTATTAACTGATGGATATACATACTAATCAATTAAACTGACCAATTTCCACTTTTTTTTATTTAAAAAAAATCCCACTGACATGGTCCAGGCCGCACAATGTACGTGCGTACAACCCGTAGCTGAACTATTTCCATGTTCGAGACGAACGCGTGTCATTTTTAAGAGTATTTTTGCGACGTACAAAGCAGGCGTATGTTAATACGTTCGCTAGTGTAAAACATCAAATTTAAAATATCATTTTTACATTTAAAGCAATGTTTAACTACTAATACTTGTACGTACGTTAACATTTATTAAATCCCATTGTGACAAATAATAATGATAAATCATGAATGGTTAATTGATATATTATTTAGTACATGTATAAATGATTGATATAATAGAATAGTGCGTGTTTTGAGATACAAAGAAAAAACTAATAAAAGAAGTCATGTTAATGCAATGATGATTATTTATATTTGGCCGGACCGACAAAAATAGCTTCCGACGCGCCTGACATAAAAGTCATAAAAAGACACCTCAGAAGTTGGAAAAGCTCATTTCCTGCCATATCAAAATTTCCCGCGGGAGAACCCCTTCCCTCTTTCTGTTGGGAGGGGGGTTGCCGATTCATGAGACAAAGAACAACTACTCATTTTGTTTATTATGTACATACACATAACAGGTCTATTTACTGTAATAAGAATAAGAAAGTTTACCTGACCGTTTTCAAATGGTAAAAAACTTTGAATTTTGAAGGACTTTAAAGTCAGTAAAAGACACCAGCTCAAAGACGGGAAAGTGCATTTTCCGCCATCTAGGAATCAACATTTTCCAGGGGGAGGAGCCCCGGGCCCCAATTCCTCTTTGGGGTTCTTGGAAAAAATTGTTGGCCCCCCACGTCCTGGTTCATATTCCCATTCATGTTATTAGTGGGCCCCTTCCACCCCACTTTGAAAAACGTTCAGCCAGCTCTACGTAAATACAGCCTCAATACATTACGGTACGTTACATATTATATTATATAGATTTTATTAGATATTTATTTTGAAACAGCGCCACCAATCTTTTCGCAACTCACTGGGGATTTTTTTTTTA